GGCCTCTCTTGCAGCTCTGGGGCATGGAGGGGAAGGAGAGGTGAGGAGAGCCGGCCCCCGAGCGCCCTGCCCCACGCCGCACCTTGGAGCGCCCAGCCTCAGGGGGACCAGCGATGCCTCTGGGGATGAATAAGCATGGATCTCGCTCTACTACCTCTTTGCCTCCGGACCCCACGGAGATCGTCAGGAGCAAGGCCTGCTCCCGAAGGGTCAAGCTCAACGTGGGGGGGCTGGCCCACGAGGTTCTTTGGCGGACCTTGGACAGGTTGCCGCGGACCAGGCTGGGTAAGCTCAGAGACTGCAACACACACGACTCCCTTATGGAGATCTGTGATGACTACAACCTGGAGGAGAACGAGTACTTCTTCGACAGGCATCCCGGGGCATTCACCTCAATCTTGAACTTCTACCGTACTGGCAAGCTGCACATGATGGAGGAGATGTGCGCCTTGTCCTTCAGCCAGGAGCTGGACTACTGGGGGGTGGATGAGATCTACCTGGAGTCCTGCTGCCAGGCCCGCTACCACCAGAAGAAGGAACAGATGAATGAGGAGCTGAAGAGAGAAGCTGAGACACTGAGGGAAAGGGAAGGGGAGGAATTTGATAACACTTGCTGTGCTGACAAAAGGAAAAAACTCTGGGACCTCCTGGAGAAGCCCAACTCCTCTGTAGCGGCCAAGGTAAGACCTCCGCATTTCTTCTCAAGTCTTGTCTATATTGGTTCATGACTGGCAATACTTACGTGAGGTGTTGTCCTGCTCCCCTTGCTTTAGTGTCTGGGTACTTGTGGCTGGCTAGATCCTGTGAGCAAAGGACAGAAAGGCCTCCCAGATGCAGAGAAGATTTAATGTATTTTGGTTTGGTTTTTTTTTGTTTTTTTTTTTTTTGGGGTAGCTTGGAAGGGATTTAGTTTGACCTTCTCTGGGGCAGCCTAGGCTGCTCAGTGTGGGAGCAGCTCTGCTGACCCCTGGGTCAACATACATTCATTGCTGTGGCTGGAGGTTGTAGGCTTGTTATCCCATGGCCTGTCTTGACGCATTTTGTAATAGAGATTTCTTGGGACCTAAAATGTGTGTGTCTCCTACTGCTTAACCAAACTTTCTTTTAAGAAGAGGAAATCTACTTGAACTCTTAGACCCAGGTCCGGTCAGGAAATAATGCCTTCCTTTCTAGGGCTTAATTTAAAATTTTGTGGTGAAACACATCTCCTAGTTGTGTCATGCACTCCTAGGCTGCAGGTCTGATAAAGTTAGCATTTGAATTTCATCCTTTACCTGATTGCAGCATATTCTAAGTCTCCCTGTGCAATACTGCTGCAGCTCTGTCTCTGTCAATAGTTGAAGTGCTGCTTACTCTGAAGTTGGTGCCAGTGCAACAAATCTATTTGAAGGCATTTGGAAGATAAGATCCATGTTAGGAGAAACCAATGTCAGAGTTGGCTCTGATAATTTAGCTGTCTCATGTTAGTCACATATTCCTTAGTGAGGAAAGTCTCTGCGAACACAGTGATTCAGTAACCATGGGGACAAAAGTGAAGGGGGAGAGGTTGAAAACTGTGGGTTGAATAACTGAAAAGCATGAGATTGAGAAGTAGGGACCAAAACTTGAATTTCCTATGTACCATCATCCTCACAGTATGACAAAGAAGTAGAAAGAGGCCCCAGCTACCTCTTTAATATCACCTCCCTATTGTACATACATTTGCAAATGCAAACCTTGGGTCCATCCCATAGGAAGTCTGGCTTTAGTGCACTACTTTTTCTCTTACTGAACCAAGAGCACATATGAAAGTTTGAGAAAGGGACTTTATGAAGTGTGGAGCTAAATGCCTCATTCCGGCTGTGGAAAGGAGAGGCATGGTCAGCTGCTTTTCAATTATCACTTTTTTAATGACAAACGGAGCCCAAGAATGTCTTTTTCCTTCCAATGGCACAGATGACACTGTGCTGAATGCATTATTCATTTATAAGGCTCCTTTGGCACAGTCTTGGAATCCTGAAACACAAGCCCTGGGCTTTGCTGTCTGTGGCACTGACTCAAAATCCATTAGAGACTGTTGATGTTCGTGATTTATTGTATATGAGTGTCCTAGGTTACAGTGTAAAATGTGCCCAAAAAAGTATTCTATTACCATCTTTAGGAGCTGTTGAGACCGGGTGGGGTGGTGCTCCCTGCCTCCCCCCTCTGGACTATCTCCTGTTCATGGGCACAACAATGCCTTATCGCCTGACCCATAGATAACTCACTCCTGGACTATCTCCTGTTAATGGCCCATCAAGGAACTGCCTCACGACTCCCCATCCCATTGTGAGATGCTCCGCCCGGGGGGGAAGGAGCCAAGCAGTCCATGCTAAATAAAAACTGAGATCTCGAACACCCTAGAGCCTTCTTCCACTGGATTCCCAGAGGAGTTTTTTTCCCCCCACTGGAGTTCCAGAGGACAAGAGCTACCTACCTACCACTGGACCTTCGGAGGAAGACCAGATCCTTTTACAAGATCGCTGCTTTAACAGAACTACATCCACCACTTCAGGAGGACTGCAGCCACCATCTTATCGGACTGCTACTGCCACCCTAACAGGGTGTCAGGTTGTATTTCTGACTCTGTCAGTGTAAACCAGTGGGTTATTTTTTTTTCTGCCTTGTGTTATATATATATTAGTAAAGAACTGTTATTCCTATTCCCCATATCTTTGCCTGAAGGCCCCCTTAATTTCAAAATTATAATAATTTGGAGGGAAGGGGGTTGCATTTTCCATTTCAAGGGAGGCTCCTGCCTTCCTCAGCAGACACCTGTCTTTCGAATCAAGACAATGAGCAGGGATCATTCTTGCCAAATAAGTGTCTTTTGTGATTTATAAATGAAATACACTCTAGCTTCATTTTCTGAGAAAATTCTCGGAGTAAGTTTGTGCAGCATTGCAGACTCTGGATTAATTGAGAGTGGTAATGCATTGTTATCCTTCCCATTTAAAGCTACCATTCTGTGGCTTCGTTGCTGTAATGAAAAAGGTGCTGTGTGTTCTCAGACCTCAAATATTCCAGCAGTTCCCAAACACAGATTTCTAGTCATTTCAAGTATAGCAAGGAAAATGGGCATGATGAACAATTAGCTTAGCAGGCAGAGACAGAAGAGCTGCTAAGCCTATTCTTTATCCGATTTTGTCCCTGCTGGTGTATAGCTTTTCTCTCATGCCAGAGTATGCCCTTTGCTTTGATCACCTTCATGAGAGTTCGTTCCACATATTGAATAACATGGACCCAGCCTTCAACTTCTGATGGAAGGATGTGAGGAGAGGGACTTGGCAGCCTAACACATTATCTGACCTAACCAGCTGTGACCAGGCTCTGTTTCAGACTATTTTCTAAATCTGAGTCTCTGTCTGATAGCTCCTGGCCAGCTTTCCTCAGCTGTCTGCTTAGCGGAACACTTTCACTGAGGCCATGGGCCTTCAGGAACTTCTGTCACCTTTCCTAAAGCCAGACTCCATCTGCTCTGCCAGGTCTGGGAGCTCAAACTGTTCCTATAGAAAGGGATCAAAGTAAACTGTTCTGAGGTTTAATGAGTGTCACTGATGGACCTAAAAATCACTGTTTGGGGAATCTGTACTACCCTTGCTTATTCATTTTCTTCAGAATTCTGCCACTCAGTGCAAAGATTTTTCCATTTAAATGTAAGAAATATAGTCTCCCTCCATATTCTCTTTAAGAAGTCTAGAAAACTGCTACAAATGCAGGCCCAAACCCAACACAATCCCTCTGTAAGCCATGCCCAGTTGTCTAACTCCCGCACCAGCAAGTTGGGCCTTCTTGCTGGCTGTCAGCACTGTTTGTATTTTAACATTTTTCTGCACAACACCTCACCTGACTCCTCCGTAACAGCTTACTGCAGAACTTCTTTCTCATGGCTATACTGGGACCGGTTAAATCCTGAGAGACCAAGTTGTTTTCTATTTGTAGTTGGTTTTTGGTTTTGTTTTTTAAAAAAGCAATTATATGTGATGTACCTCAGCATGGAAAAACATCATTCAAATAAGAGACAAAGAATCCCCCAGACCTTAATTTTTGTTGCTCTTTTATCCATGGGGGATTTACCCATATCTTTTGACTAATCTGTCTGGCTTTTAAACTAACCACCTCATGGCAAGCAGTGTCTTATTTATGTGTGATGCTTCACCCAGTACGTGACAGGAAAGAACACTCTGTTAGATTTTTATAATACCTGCTCTTTGAGAGGCTCCAGATCTCTATGACAAGGCATCAGACAGCTGTTGAATCTCCAGCCTCACTGCCTTGTTGCTCCCTCAGCACTAGCAGAGGGGTGTTCGCTCCTTTCCTATAAAGCTGCAGTCCCTTGCAGCTGTAACCGAAGCTGCACCGTCCTTGTGCGAGGTGCTGTAGAGCTGCAGGGCAGCACTCCAGCCTTCCTCTATGGTCAGGCTGTGCAATGGGCACCCAAACCATTTCACCCACCAGCCCATTTAAATTGGAGGCACTTGCTGTGCTGTACTCCCCTGCCCTCACCTTGCCCAGTGGGAACACTTCTATGCTCAAAATTCTGTGCACTGAGGGACTCTCCCTCTACCAAATGAAAAAATATTTAACAGGCAGTTATTTCATAAAACTTTTCATTTCTCCCTCTCTTGCTTTACAAGATATTTTAAATTATCAGTTTCTTCTGCTTCCTGTGACTTTATTTGCCTGTATATCCCTGAGAAATACTCACTGTGGTCTCTGTGGATGCTTCCTTCTCTTTCTGTGCTCACTGTTTTTGCATATTCCTGCTTATTTTTATCACTTTCCCAGTCTCCCTTAACAGTTTGGTGGTTAGTTTTTGTGTGTGTAGTTGTTTGTTTTTTAAATAGCATTCCTCCTGTACTTTGAACTCGTAACATCCATTTTTAACCATAGAGGACTCTCTGGTGCTTGCTTCTGGCTGGATTTACCCCAAATGAAGATGAGATGCAGATAATTTCTGGGCTAGCTATTACATTTTGTGGTGTGATAGTTTTCCTTTGCTCAGGAAAGGAAAAAGCAACTCTCCAGAAGCCAAGCAGAACTGCTGCTTTTTCTTGGGACTTAGTGTCCATGCCAGGGCAGTACTGGTCAGCAGTTCTCTAGCACTCGGGTTTGGGCTTTTAATCATAATTGCTCTGTTCCTCAGCAAGGCTAAGCCTGGGCAGCTGGCTTCTGTCACCCACAACTCAGCTAGAAGCCCTGGGTTTCCAAAGCAGAAGTCCCTCCTGTAGCTGTTGGTGTGGTGGGTTTTTTTGTTGTTTGGTTGTTTTTTTTACTAACCAGGCTAGTTAGGATCTGTGGGTCTACCTGCCTGGTGAGACATTTGTGCTCCTTGTGACAGCCAGCCTAGCTGTAAATCCAACTAGACTTCCTGGCATCCTGAAGAATCACAGACTGCAGTTGTTCCATGCTCTCCAGTATAAACAAATAATAAATTAGACCAAATCAACATCTTAATTAACTTGTATGATCTTGGAAATCCTCTGATCACCTGGACCTTTCCAGCAACTCTGCAAGAACATTGCTTTTTTTGCCTTTTAGGAGGAAAAGAAATCCTTTCTTCTTTTAGTCCTTACAAGTTATTTCCCTGATCAATATCTGAGCAATTAGTGTTGCAGGGGGAGTGGGGGGAAGTCTGCTCGTCTTACAGACTCCTCTGCAT